AACAATGTCATCCCTCCACACGCAAAAAAATGGTCGTTGCTGATGACAGAAGCTCTTATTCACAGGGGTCCTGCACTTTCTTTGTCATACTTACAGAGTACAGAACTTGGCTGTTGTGAGAACAGGACTTCTGTCGTGAGCACATAGAGACCGCTATCCTCGTAAAGGAAACTTCTGTAGCTATGACAAAGAAAGCGCAGAAGCTTTATGAACAGAACTATTTTTTAATGCACCTTTTAACCGGGTGCCCGGTGCCCTGTGCACCTCCTCGTAGTATAGAAACCCAATCTAGAACCTCTTAGGAAAAGTTTCGTCTGCAATTCTATGCACGTGATACCTATACCATGAAAGTTGTTTCGTTATAATGTCATCATGATGGTATACGAAATGCATAAATTCGCACATTTTCCCCATATTGGAACACTGCAAGGGCATGGATGAAGTTTAGAGCCGTCAGGTTCTTTGCGACGACACGACCGTGTGACTGAGCGTGTATGCTCTTGGGTGGAGTATGACAAGTGAGAGTGCCTTGGAACGGAAGCAAATCTGTCGTTATTGCTCATCGGCAAATTGGAAATAACTAGCTGCGGAATCGCGATAGGGGACGTGATTGAGTATCGTGCCAGATTAACAAGTATTGCGCTGTCCTGTGCTTCGTAACTGTATACGGTTTCGCAATGCTTTCAGTCAGAGCACCTTCTTCAATTTTGACTCTTGCAAACTTTATCACTTTTAGATCAAGCACATTGTACTTTCAATGGCTGAGGTTATTTTAAGTCGTAACTTCGCGATTTGATTAACAAATTCAAGGATGTAATTAAACAACTTTAATTGAGCTATGATCTCTTAAATCAATGATACCCAATTATTCACGTGTGTTTTGGATGAGGATATAAATCCGTATTCTAATGCCTCGAATGATATCGTTGTTTTGGTTAATTGGTTCAGTCGAAACGGTCGTCAATATGACAGAAAAATCCGCTTCAGTAGGCCACAGTCCGGGCTCCGGGGCAAGGTGGATCGAGTCAATTGGAGAGTTCGGCAAAATTTGGAAACTTTAAAAACTTACAATTCCGTTCTTACGAAACGATGAGTCTTTAAAAGTGGTTCAATTGGTTTTTTCTTCTTTATAGACATCCCTTTAAATTTTAAACGTGATGAAATAAACATCAAAATTTGCTGTTTTTCAAAATTTCATATCCGACTTTTCCCATTGACTCGACCCACTATGCAATGATACCGAATACGGTTTGGATAAGTTTTCGGGTTTTAAGTCAGAAGTAAACTGGAGAGGGAGAATTACTCTGGAATTTTTGACCTAGAATTACGCGGGAGGCATATGTATTTCTCATGCATGGGACAAACATTGGAACGAATAAATCAGGTTTCTGTTTTTATTCAAATAAAATTAATCATTAACGGGTTGCGAGTCCACATTTCTTTAAACTAAAGAAAAAATCTATGAATGATAAAAACTCTTCTATGAGAAAAAAGTAATTAAGTCAAAGGGTTTTTTTTTTCCTGTTGGGTTGATGAAATGCTCCTCGAACCAATGCGAAAGATCATTGACAGCTTGGATTTTGTAATACTTGGTGGTCAGCAGCGTCAAATTTAGATTAGATAAACGCGGTGCAAGACTTTTTCTCCGCATTCCTTGACTTTCTTCTCCTCCTTTCACTTTCCGTTCTCTTATTCGATCCAATTCGTGGGCTACCATTAGAGAACCGCGCTAAACGGAGCACTTATCTCTAATAAACGGAGCGGACCACGAAAATCATCACTCGAGCTTTGAAAGCTATGCTTGCATTGGACTCGAAAGATAGAGAAAATTACTGATCATGCTAGAGGACATAAAATAATTTCCTCGATTGCAATTTAAAGCAAGGACTTTAAACCCTTGAGCAGTCCTATGCGGAGCTTGCCAAAACACTTGCTAGATTTTTGATGAACTGAACTAATTGGTCTCCCCTCAATTGAATCAGTGAGTTCGAAAACACACCAACTCGGGTTTTTTTCGATTTTCACTTTTTTACGGTTTAGTAACATTTATGGATAGAGGCACCTGCACGCAAAAGGAAATTTTTGAAATTGCAATCGGAAGTGCTCGAAACAGCGACGGGAAAAGGGAAAAATCGAAGTTTTTCATTGGAAATACCAATTTTTGGCCATTTCAAGGGAAACGGGTGACCATCCAATCTTGCGGTTTTCTTTTTTCGGTTCAGTATACCTTGTACCAACAAATTATGTAAATATTCAAGCGTTATTCGGGTCGAAAAATATAAATTTTTCTGGACAGACTCTGAAAAATCAGTATCTGAAAATCGGTGAGAACGAAAACACACCAACTCGGAAATTTTTAAACGCTTAATGCTCTGTCATCAAGCATGGTGTATCGATTTCAACTAGGTGCTTCACAAAGTCTCTATATACTTGTCCTTTGGCACCAAAAATGTTTTTCTTAAACTTACTTCTTCGCCCGCTGCGCAGTTTTAGGTGTTTCCTGAACAATTTTTTTTATCCGAGTTGGTGTGTTTTCGAACTCACTGATTCAATTAAGTTCAATTTTTTTCCTTTCTTTCTTTTTTTTACTGAAAGATAAAATAAAATAAATTTAGCATAACTGCAACTCAACCATATCATGTACAATTTATCATCTTGGATTCTTTTTTTTTAAAAAAATGAAGAGCAGAAAACAATATATACTTCAAAATCGTGTGCGTAAATCGTTTAAATAAAAAGTCCGAATCACATTCAGAGCAAAATGCCACTTATTTCCTTCCTTTTAAAATACAACGCACGAGAGAGGATTTTGCAGTATTGTCTTAAAAAGTTGAGCTAATGTTGTTTAGGGCTATCAAGATATTGATATTGGTACAGATAAGATCTAAATGCTAGTGTAACAGTTAAAACCTATTCAGTTTCATTCTTCATCATTTGTAACTTTATTGTGTTAAGGGTTGTGAAAGGTAACTTATGACAGGATGTCTGCAAGATTTCAAACTAAAGTAAGTATTCTTCTATTTTTACCATTTTTGTGGTTGCGTGTTCTATACTGCCGTACTATGAAAAAACGCCGTATGAACCTTCAGGCGTTGCCAAATTTCCTTTGATAAAAAAAGAATCTCCTGGTAAACTTATGAATATTTTGCTTCCAACTTTTTAGATAATTTTGTTCGTAATTTCACCTGAAAATTTCAAGGAAAAATATTTAGAACTTACCTCAAAAATATGCATTTTATCAAAGGAAATTTGGCAACTCTCGAATGTTCATACGGCGTTCTTCCTTAGCACGGCAGTACATGTACATGTACGCATTTTTGTCAGGGATCTTTCTCATCTTCTGCATGTCCTTACCCAATAGCAGTGTTTACTTTCTTAGCCTTGCGTTAAAGTCTTTCAATCAAGTTAGTCTGGATAAAAGCTACAGGGAAGACGGGCATGATCGAAAATTTAATAATAGATCGATAATAATCGATTCGAGTTGAAAGTGACCGTTGCTCTATTATATCGAACAACGTAGCCACTAAATGAATCTGTTCCCTCTGCGACAGATTTTGCTGCGGAAGCGACAATTGATCGCGGATCGAGTTCGGCTACCCAAGTCGCATTTTTCAACGAAAAAATCTCAATTTCTTGAAATGGAGTTGCGATTTTTCCGCGATAAAGTCACTAGAATCAACATCTGAGCGACTATCCTCAACCTGTCTCAACTTTATCTCCATAAACTTCCGTTCGATGAAATCAAAATTTTACCTCAATTCATGACGATTTATTGTTCGATAGTATTGCGATTGATCGCCGTCGATAAAATCGCGATTTTATTGCAAATTAAGGCGATAAAATCGCAATTTTTTATTCGAATAAATCGACGTTGATAATATTTTCGAAAGACACATTCTACGATCAAATCGCAACCTTTCGCTATCACTGCTACGTGGGATGAGCGGTGAGACGAATCGGGGATTTCGGGTGAGTGCCGGGTGCCACACAGTGGATCGACTCTTAAGTAGAGGGGTTGGACATGAAATTTTTGACTGAAACTGTAAATTTTGATGTATATTTCGTCACATTTTAAATTTCAAGGGGTGTCTCTAGAAGAGAATTTTACGAGGAAACCAATGCAACCACTTTTAGAATCTCAAAGTACTGTACACTGGAAAAAAAACACATTGCATCTAGAGTCCAGACTCTTAAAAACATCGGCAAGAAAAAATACTCTTGATTCAATCTAGTCTTAGCTTAAATCAAGAACCAAACCTTTTAATTTGAGCGGATTTCCTTTTGATTTAAGCTTAAATCTGATTGAATCAAGAGTATTTTTCCTTGTCAATGTTTTCAAGATGCTGGACTCTAGATCCAATGTGTTTTTTTTCTTTCTAGTGTATGGATGGAATTATAAGCGTTTAAAGTTTCCAAAGGACCCTACGACAAAACGGCCAAATCGGCCTAAACACGGAATCCTACGATTTTCTCAGGGATGAAAGAGGGTCACCCCGGACACTCAAAACTGGTCATATTTTTTGCCTAACCCTTAGGGAAAAGGGGGGGTGGGGGGTCAAAGTCAAAAACTTTATAGAAGCATATAACTTCTCGACGGTTTGTCGTAGAAAGATGATCTTGGTGTCAAAATTTCTAGAAAAATGAGAACTTTCAGAATATATGTATGAAATTAATAAAATTTTAAATTTTGACCCACTTTTGGGGGAATTATATAAGGTCCCCCTTTCATAAATTTTCGTTTTTCGATATTTTCGGTCGTTCGGTTCGCACGGAGAGGGAGAAAATCGTAGGATTCCGTGTTGAGGCCGATATGGCCGTTTTGTTGTAGGGTTCTTTTGTCCGACCTTTCCTGTTGACTGGATCCTCCATGTGCCGGGTGCCGGTGACGAGTGGTAAATGGTAAATGGTAAAAGTCAAGAGCAGGAATCGGTGCATGGCCGGCGCCACCGACCGCGCACCGGGCAGCGGGCACCACGACCAGCGAGCAGCGAGCAGAGCCGCCAGTGTGTCAGTCACCTCAGTAACCCAGTGAGCGCGCGAGTGTGCAGTGCGGACCCGAGTGCAGCCAGCGACTCCTATACCCGCGCGCGTATAAAGTGCACTTTCGGAGCTTTCACGTCCAGTTTTCAGTTTCCATAGGGCTTCTTCGCCCCGTCATTTGCGGCCAGAGTATGGCACGCTTTCTTGTGCCGGTGGTGAGTTTTTTAACTTTCGAATTTCAATCGTCCCTATTTCATTTTTCTTAATTTCATTCTGATAAATCTAGGAAGAATGACTAGTCAGGGTACGTAATTAAGCACTGCACACACAGTGGCGTACTTTGGAAAAAAAAACACATTGGATCTAGAGTAGACTCTTAAAATCATCGACCAGAAAAAATACTCTTGATTCAATCAGATTTAAGCTTAAATCAAGAACCAAGCCGCTAAATTTGAGTGGATTTCCTTTTGATTTAAGCTTAAATCTGATTGAATCAAGAGTCCTTTTTCTTGTCAATGTTTTCAAGAGTCTGGACTCTGGATCCAATGTGTTTTTTTTTTTTTTCTCCAGTGTATCTAGGAATTCATTAAGGGGGAGGTGAAGGGGTCCGTGACGGTAAATTTACATTATTTCGTGTTTTTCCCTAATAATATTTTATGTTTGCCCTCCAAAAGTAAAAAAAGGTACAATTAACGAGGCTAAGGGGGGTTCCAGACCCCCTAGACACCCCCCCCCCGTCTACGCCACTGCTACACAGCACAAATTCTTTCATCAAAATTCCACGGAGAACGCATTAAACACATTACAAATTTCAAAACCTATTCAAAAGTGAGAAATAAACGAGCGTGGTAAGTGAACCGTTCGTTCGAACTTCCCGCTCGCAATGAGACCATGATCAACGTGGGTCTCTCATGTAGTAGAATTTTCAAAAATAGGAATTTGATAGTGATAAATGGCAATTAAGTAGCTATTAAGATTTAAAAAAGTGAGTGAATAAAAAAGTCGATAATAGTTGTTGAAAATAGCGATGAATTGAAATTAAGAAGCTATCTCGCATTCAAAAATCGAATGACAAGTTCGTATCTCACAGGTACATTAAAATTGCTATTTAAAAGAAGTTTCAAAGCAATTGACTATAAATAGCTCATCATTTAACACTTCAAATCTTGAAATTCTGCAACATGGGCTGATGAGGCACTGAAATCAACTAGGTAAATACTGAAACTTGATTGATTAATTCGAGATTAATCGAGAAAAAATTGGAGGCATTATCAGAGGAAAACTATCTCCTTTGCGAATTCTCATCGTATGGGGGAACACTAAGTACCACGAGTATTTAATGCTAAAAAGAACTGTGTTTCACGCACATAGTTCCTTCTAGCATAAAAACGTCCAATTACTTTTATGACTGAGGGTTCCCTCTAAGCATACACATGGGAGTCAGTGAAATGGAGGAAATCAAATAAAAAATCGAGCGTTGAAGCGACGCGTGCGTGAATCGCGATGCGAAAAAGTTAAGTGAGTTATAAGAACGTGACATGACGCGCCGCGCAACTACCAGTGGCGGTATAGTTACATTGTGGCCAAGTTTCGAAAAAAAAAGTAACTAGTAGCAGGTTCTGTTCCTTGAGTTACATAGCTTTCTATACAGTGAAAGTTCTGAAATACCTGACAACTCATCTATATTTAAACATAATCCCGCCAAAATGAGTTACAATTACATAAAATCCATCATTAAGAAAAGCTGTAAGGTTGAGAAAATCTTCATTCTCTAGTGGAGAGAAAAAGAGGAGATTTTTAAGTATCACTATAAAAAAAAATGTATATCGATTGATACTAAAGTTCAGATAAGTCTTATATAAAATTTGTAAATTCTAGAAACTTTTTCAATAATGATTACACCACATATATATGTATAAGCCAAAAGAACCACAGTACCTCTCATAAATAATACTCATAATAATAAATAATAATAAATCTCATTATTATAAAGTTTTAAACGGTAACCCAATGTGGACTCTGCCATTATATAATCATTTTATTCAATAAAATCAGATAGTTAGTTTTTGCATCATGGGTAAAAGGTAATATGATGTGACGAGAGAATGTTTTAGAGATCAAAGCCGACAGAGGGCTATAGTGTCTTTTAAGAAGGTTAGGATTTTCAATAAAAGAGCCCCCCAGCCAAACTACGGTTAAGACGAAATGCTGATCGAGTCGAATTTTTTTTCGGTCCCTTAGACACATCCATTAGTTAAGTGGAAAATCGGTTAAAAGGAATTGCTGCTTAAGTCGAATTTTTTGTCGATCCCTTCAAAATTCGACTTGGCGAGCTTTCACTGTAGTAAATGTGAATTTTTAAGAAAACACATTCTTACTGGCTGGTTAAAGAAAGTAGAGAAAACCGCTGTTTAAAGAAAAAAGATGATATCTACAATACTTGCAGATACATTTACGTGCATACCCGCCCATACTACACGAACATGTGCGCACACTCATATACGTATACTGTAAAACACACTTAAAGGGAAACTGTATTTGTATTTCCACTTGTATTTCTGATATTATTTTTTTCTGTAGTTCTGGAATTTAAGAACAAACAAAGAAAACCTGACATCAATTCATAAACTGACGTATTTATGCTAAAAGGAACCATATGCTTTGGGTTTACGTGCAACATCGATCCTCTTAGCATAAATAAATTCAACTCTCTTACCAACGATTTTATTTTGAGGGCGTAACTAAGTAGTTTGATTGAAAATGTGGGCGAAGAGAGAGATGTTTGAGTTTTTGTTTCGAGCAACACCTACTGACTTGCCATTGAAAAATTGCGATGAAAAAGTCTGATGTTGTGTCAATTCAAGGCACAATTCAAGCTCTGAACATGGCGCATTATTATCGCTGGATCACATGATCACTTTATCTTATAATTAAGTTTTTTGAAGAGGGGTGGTCTGGCCATACCCCAAAAATTCTGACGGGTGGCTCAGGGAGTCCCGGTAGGACTCTTGTAGGATCCCCAAAACTTGAAAAACCCACATAAAGGAGAATTTTAGGTTAGTTAGGGGAATTTCTGTTAAGAGGGACCCTCAAAACGTATCACTACCCCAGACATTTTCGAGCCAAACCGATGCGGTTTTGAAACGGCAAATTTCTAGGCTCTATGATCTAAGTCTGGCTAGACATTCTTCGGCGTATTTTGTGAAAACTCGTTTTTAGAATAAGTGCCTGAGAATAGGATTAAATTGTAAATTTAAGTATGAGTTTTTAAGACTTCCTAATCAAAATTTAAACGATCAAATCTATTTATAATTTTGAAAAGCATTAGTTTTGATTGATTTAAAATTTTAATGAAATAAAAATACCAATCACTGAATTACTTTGATTAAAATCATTCATAGTTACTGAATTAAGCTCCTAATAATGTCAGTCGCGGGGGTGGTTCCAAGAAGTTGAATTAGACATCTTCAAGACCTTGGAATAAAGAGTTACCTGCTTCAATCAATGCAGTAGTCCGTCGTTATAAGCACGCACGTCAAGTATGGTCAAGTCGTTTCTTAATATTAATTAATTTCTTTATGCAATTTGTTAGTTTTTCTTTATCGGTTTTTAAATTTTTAGATTTGTATCCCATTTTACTTCAGGTAGTTAATTTCAATCGAGCAAGCGAGTGTATATTGCTCACTTTGGCCTTTGACCCGTCAGTGATACTTCTACCGGAAGTGATCCCTCTTCCAATATGAGAAATAAAAAGAGAGAGAGAAAAAACAGAATTACGTATGATGAAAATCAGTCTATGCAGTAACAATACTTGAGATTTGGTTGGTAGTCATTAAAAGATGCCCTCTCCAATGGACGATGACACACGTATAAATGCTCTGTAAGCTCCAAGTTGAGCCCCCACTTGGATCGTGTGACTTGTGCCGTTCAGGTTCAGATGAGATAATAGCGATCTGGCAGAGAGGCTGCTCCGGCCGGGTCGCTTGCCTTGTTTTGTCTCTGAGACACAATGGCAAAACAAACGGGCGGCGCGTGTCCCGGTGTGCCGAGTGTCATTATTTAGAGCGTCGATCGTCACAGGGGCGTCGGGACGCGCGTCGTCGATGGGCGTCGTCGATTCCGTTGCGTTGGAGCCGCAGACGCACCGCAGCTTATGTATAGTCCCGGTGTATAACGAGCTTCGAACATCAACCGAGGCGCGAGGAAAGTTCGAATCATGAAAACTCCTTTTTTTCTACTCATGCGTTCAAGTCTCCGCGCATGTAGACTGAAGCTGAAACAGCGCTTATTACCGCACTGAAAAAATTTGGGCTCGATACAAAGAGGACATTTCAATTTATTGAAACTTCTTTTACTCTGCTCGTGCGTTTAAGTCTCCGAGCATTTAGACTGAACCAATGCTTATTACTACACTAAGAAAATTTAGGCTCGATGCAGTGAGGAAATTTCAATTTATTAAAACTCCTTCTTTTCTACTTATGCGTTCGAGTCTCCGCGCATTTAGTCTGAACCAATGCTTATTACTACACCGAGAAAATTTGGGCTCGATGCAGAGAGGAAATTTCAGTTTCTTAAAACTCCTTTTTTTCTACTCATGCGTTCGAGTCTCCGCGCATTTAGTCTGAAATAGCGCTTATTACCACACTGAGAAAATTTGCAGGGCTGGATGCAGAGCGGAAATTTCAAGTAATGAAAACTTCTTTTTTTTCTGCTCATGCGTTCAAGTCGCACCATGCATTTAGTACGAAACAACGCTTGCCACCAAGGTAAGTGAAAAGTAGGTATGCTCTTGCCGACCCCTTTGGCCGAAGCGCAGCTTTCATTCCCGCCACCAAGTTTTGAATTGCAAAAATTTTGCAGTCTTGACCGATAACATATATGACCGTCTGCTGTTGATGAAAATGATAAAACTCAGCTCAAGCAACTTCAATGAGAATGAAAATTTATCTGCTTTTATTAGTCTGTTTTATTATGTTGTCAACACAGACGGTCGTATTCGTTTTCGGCCAAGACTGCAGAATTTTTAAAATCCAAATCTCGCGCCACGGTTCTGGTGACGGGAACTAAGAGCTGCGTTCCGGCCAAAAGGGTCGGCAAGAACTTACCAACAGTTCACTTACCTTGGCTTATTATCACACTGAGAAAAGGACTCAATGCAGAGAGGAAATTTCAGTTGATGGAAACTCCTTTTATTCTACTCTTGCGTTTAAATCTC